AATCCGGCGTAACCAAGGGTGAGCCAGGCCACTTATCAAATGAGTCTTGCAAAACAGAGGCTGTAAACCAAGGGGAATCTTTTATAGGTTCCACGGCATGATAGGAAGCACTAGGAATGTTCCCGTCATCTTCCTGGAAAATGCTTTCGAATTGATCAGCTAACATGTCTGCTTTTTCTGTTGGAAGAATTGCTACGTTTTTTCCATTCCTCAAACAACCAACGCGCTTAGTATCTTGCAACTTCTTACTTAAATACCTGTAAACTGCGAGCGTTACCGGAACCAATAACTTTCTTTTCCAGATAGTCATTGTACTTTTAAGATGCGCATGATACTTTAGTGAGAAAGACTTATACCTATCCCAATTGCTTAAACGTAGGGCCTCAGCGAATAAACATTCGCGATGCTCCCACATGTTTTGCAAATGTGGGGGTAGATGCACAGACTTAACACGAGGGACTCTGACCCAAGGGACGTTAAGTTCAAGCGCGCTATGCAAGACAGATAGAAATAACTCATACTTCTCATTCACACTGTTCTTGGACTCTAGCAATGGGACCCAGCGAACTTGAGTTAGGCTACTAAATAAATTGTAGTCAGAATAAACTCCATGTTCGGTTTTCCTGGAACCTGGGCATTTTGAATATTGTGTTGTTTTCTTCTGTGCCATACAGGTTGTTATGGTGGAACACGTTTATTGGTCAACGTTTCGACAAATCGTCGTCTTCAGGACCTGAAACTGGTTCGAAGTCCTAGCTCTGTAGCTCACCCGGTAAAGCGCCTAATCTTACTGATTCTAACGCAAAATAATACAAAATAGACGATAGTATGTAGTCAGAATATATCCGCTTGAGTATGTACTTAGGCTGAGACAGCTTACACCTAACTTCAAAGGTGATGCTATTGTGATCACTTAAACCAACCGGAGTAGTCACCACTAGGTTTTTATAAGAGTGGGAGGACTTGAAAACACTAAATCAAGGATGTTGCTACCTCTGGTGGGTACCCCCACATGCTGTGTGAGGTTGTGGCACAGGGCTAAATCGTTGAGACAGGATATTGCGTAGAGGCTGGAAGGGACCCCATTTTGACAGCCATATTCAGGTAAATTGAAATCCCCCACGACCACACGATAAAAGATCGCTAAGGGCTTTAACGAGAAACTCAAAGTTATCATTTAAACAAGAGGGAGCTTTGTAAACGACAACTACTCGAATGCTGGCTCCTTCAAAATATAAATCCGCGCAGAGTACTTCAAAAGAATCCTCAATCGTATCAACAAAAACTAACGATATAGAGACACTTCGCCTAACAAGGAGTATAACTCCTCCTCCAGTTCTTCTTTGGACGATCACATCTGATTGCATCGTAATCATCTATAATGTCCCCGAGAATAGAGGATAAGGTGTGGCTTGGCTTCAACCAAGTTTCGGAGAAAGCGAATACATCAATATTCTTCGACAACAATACCTTCAAGAAATCAGCATTTTTGGAGAGTGACCTTACATTCGCATAAAAAAATCTTAGCATACGACAAAACCGGGGAACACCTAACAGTTTCCCTCCACATTAGCTGAGGGACTGGCTACATGAGAAGGAACGGCAGTTGGTAGTCCCCCACCCTTGACAGTGGGTGGCGTTTTGCCTCCTTCTTCAAACTTGATACCCTCACCTCTCGTCTGCGTTTCCTTTCTTCTGGAGTGAGGGACTCTCTTATGAAGACCCCCTGCCCAGGGAAATGACGCAGACGAGAGGCTCGCTTTAATGCAAGGCGTTGAAACGCACGTGATGGCATGACAACTTTCAATAATCTGTTCCTACCTACTCGAGGCCCACCAAGTCGATAGACTGTGAGTGGGTTACATTCTACATTCAAAAAATCAAGGATGTTACAAACACTAGCAAAATCGTATGAAACACATTCTCTAGGATACGGGGACTTTAACTCTGGTACGCCACTAACTATAATAGAACGCAGTCTCTCGACATCATGATAAGGCTCTGCCGCCTGCGGCGACTGTGATCCCATATCAGAGGTCTGAGACAAATGAGAATCCTGTACTTGAGCAATAACATTACATTCAGACGAATCATGAGACAAATTTTTACGAACACTGTTGAGTTCTTGCCTGAGTTCAGCGTTTTCAACATGAAGAGTATGGAGCTCCTGCATTATCGCAGCTATGACTTTTTTAATACCATCCGCCACGCGACTGGATTTCGTTAGAAGCGCAACCTGGTCCTGTAGTTCCTTGGGCAGACATACATTGGTAGTTCCCATCCCATCACAGCCTTGGCCACTTGATCCTTGCGACGTGACACTTCTCAGTTCCATGCCAATGAGAGTTAATGGTTATGATGCTCTATAGCTCTTTCTAGGGGTGACTAGTGGCGATCTATCAGACTAAACAGTTAGAAATAGACGGTATTATTGACAACCTATTACTTACCGATTTTCCTGATGGGAAATTTGCCAACTGTGCCGTAGTTGTTCTCGCCGTTCTTGACTTATCTTCTCAACTTGGCTTTCCCCTCTCTATCATTTTCGAATTCAAATGAGCTCGACCACCTTGGCCCCAGCCTGCATTTTCTATGAAATGGCATGCAGCTGGAAACGTGCCGTGCCACTCGAGGCGACGGAGTTCTTTCCGCTTGAATACATCTGGAGCGAAATACTGTAATACTTACAACCGGTTTAGCTCCTCACGCTACCGCGCACATTTCGTCGAAGGCTTCGGTGTGACAGTCAGTGAAGTGTGAGTCCAGGTAAGAAATAAGTTGCTTTGGAAAAGGGTCGGCTGACTGTCCGCTTGATACGCGCGGTGGAGCACGGAGCTAAAGGGGTCGAATAATATTCGATTCGAGTGATGTTGAAATGGGATTACCCAGCACTCATTATCATGATCCTCCAAACATCCACCGTACATTTTTCAGGCACCTTGGGGAATGTAGCGACCTGATGGCATTATGGGCCCAATATAAAAACGCAAATGAAATGACAGGAAATGTTGCGTCATCTCAAATCTTGTTTTGAGTGACCTCGATTTTATAGGAATATTGTTGTTATCAGTCCCTGGGCCAATATCTCTTTCTGTCACCCACCATATAGTATGTTTCCGTCTCACTCTCCTCATCGCTTCTCGGAGCCGATGCCCCAATGCTGCTGAAGCACCCACCGTAAATTTAGTGAGATTTGCCTTGCAGCGCCACTCCAGCCCTAATCAGCCTTTATCACTTCTTGTCCCACACCAAATGTGGGTGTAGAATGAGCCAAACTGTTTCCCGTGTTGTCCTGGTTTTGCTTCGCTGCCGCTCCATCAACATAATGTCGCCATCGATCTTCTTCCAGACTTTATCATTGCGTTGTCTTTTCGAAAGTAGTTGGACGATTTAGGACAGCTTGTGACACTGCGAAAATGCATGCGCCCACTTATTTACTGCTCTAAAACCATAGTAGCTGAAAGAAAGCGAAATTTTCTGCTGTTTGAGCTTTTCAGAAGATACCACTCGATGAGCTTGTCAAATTAATAGGTACGAAAGAATGTTTGGAAGCACTTGGTTCGTGCTGTTCTGGATTTTCCCCGGATCGGCTGAAATCTTCCGTTGGTTATATTTTGAAAGAGTGGACTGTTGTGCGTGCGGTGCCCCAATCAGCATTCTCAACAGTGGCTCGCACAAAATCGAATTTCCCAGCGAGATCATACGAACGCTCCTCCTAAAAAAGCTCCGCCATATCCTGTGTTGCACCAAGGACTCCCTCCAATCGGCTTCGGAATGCACTCGTCACTGAGGGTGCCAGGCCGATCATGTTTGGCTCATTTTGTATGATGGAGGGGCCCATGTGGAATTCTTCATAACCAGGTGACGAAACTCCAGTTTGGGAGGAGGCATTCTATGATGCTTTCCAATACTGAGAATAAGGATAAAAATTTTTATGACACATTCATTTGGAATTACTTCTAATGTATGCACCTCTATAGTGTGGAAGTACTCTAAAGGTGCTTTCAATTTCAGCCTGCCAAGATGACACGAAGTGTCCTCCCAAACTGGAATACATCTTCCGAGCAATTATAATACGAAACTACTAGGGAGTGCATAAAGATTTTCAGGTATGTTTCCCTGACAACATTTTCGTCATACGCGGAAATCACGAAGAAGAAAGTCTGAACCAGCTGTACTCGTTCGCCACCGAAGTTCACTCCAAGTTTGACGGTGAGTTAATCACTAGAAAATTCTACGATAGAAAAAAATATCAGAAAATTAAACAGCCAAGTCGAATGATGCGAAAACAGCGATGGATCCAATGTACGATCATTTCAAAAACGTCTTTATGAACTTACCACTTGCTTGCTTGATCGGACGCGATATTCTTGCAATGCATGGAGGAATCAGTCCAAAATTGACATCACTGCAAGTATGCATCACTATCGATTATCTGCATACATGCGGCGTATACATGCGCAACATAATTCTAGGATATACGAGAAATTGCTCGTCCCATAGATGAATTCATGAAAGGTACTCTGGCCTGCGACTTGGTGTGGTCAGATCCGGATACACTAAATAAAGTGGTTGAATTTGAACCGAATCTTGAGAGGTACAGTCATTGAGCATCATACTTATGTTATAATTTTTAGCAATTTTGACACCATGTATCCCTCTTTGCTGGTCATTTCGGAGAGCCTGTATGCCATATGTGCCACCTAAACATGTCAGCTCAAATTTTCTTCAATGATCAAAGAACTGATATAGTACCAGTAACGCGCATACGAATTACTAAGTGTCCTCATCGGGCAAGCCTACACCTTGGGAGTGTTGCAACAGAGCACAATTATGAAGTGTAATAATTTTTCATAAGGGAGTAGCGTAGGGCGTTCTTCGTGATCACGAGTGATCTCAAAACACAAGATTATAAGTTAAGGAACATAGGATGTATACCGTAACCCACGTTTGCGTCGGAGCGCGGTTGCAGGAGTCCCAGCGCAC